AGCAGAAAACCGAAACTATCACTAAGGTCTCTTTTTTTTTCCTCCGTTATCGATTTGTGTCAAGTTCTTTTACACTTCCGGTGGTTTAATTAAAATTTTTATCAGCTTTCTGTTGTAGATCTAAGGCATAAAAACCATTATGCCTTATTTTGAATCAATAATCTAAAAATCAATTTACATTAGTGGGAGGCTTAGATGTCACTCATGCTTAGAAAATTTTACTGTTTCCCGAAAGAAAACTGAAAAAACAAAACAAAAAATCGTAGAAGACTTGATTATCATTTGTAATTATTTGAACTTTAATTTTTGGCCATTGAAAAGAATAGTTTGTGCTTGACAAAAAAAATTTTCGGGAAAAGGGAAAAAATTCTTCTGTAGTTTTATTTAAGTAAATTACTAAATAAATATATACTACTCGGTAAAAAATACAACTTGAATTGATTTGATCCACTAAGTATAAACTTTTCACTATAAAACATACATAGTAACTTTAAGATTATTATGTATATTTTTAATGCTAAACAAATTTTCATTGCATTTATTGAATATGAAGCTTTTTTCACGTACGTTTTCTATATTATAAGGAGTACAACATTAATTTGCTTTAAAATAGAAANACTAATCCAAATTTTTGAAAAAGAAAAAAAATACTTCTTCATTATGTCAAAACACAATTATGTGCCGAGTTTCGTGCCTTGGCGAGGCTTCTGGGGCGATATATTGTGATTACAGACAGACAGACACACACACAGCCGCGTTTATTATTATGTATAGATGTATAGATGTATAGATGTATAGATGAAGCTTTTTTCACGTCCGTTTTCTATATTATAAGGAGTATTATTAACAATAATTTGCTTTAAAATAGAAAACATAAGAGTATTTTAATTTACATTGAACTTTTCCTTATAAAACAGTCAATAGTACAAAAAAAATTCAACTTTAAAATTACTTAATTAAATTAATTCAACATGAATATTAACATGCAACAAATATGTTGAATATATATACCATGCCATGCATCAAAACGTTTCAAAAACTATCTTAATCCATTGATGCTTAAGCGTCTTTTTAAAATCATAGTACTATTTTTTCCAAAAAAAGGAAGAAAAAAAAGAAAATAATAAAAGGAAAAAGCTTCATTATTAGGGTTTGATTTATTTTACAAAAACAATATGGTTCCACTTATTATATTACATAAACTATTTAACGATTTTGAAATTTCAGTTTCTAATTGCTTAATATAGTCGTTTTTTCTTTGCGCTGCGTGCAGTTTAAATTTATAATTTAGTCACAAATTCATCTCAAATTTCAAACTTTTTTTTAAAAAAAATATTTCATGCTCTTAGTTAAATTTCTTTAATACTTAATAGGGTCATTTTTTCTAGTATCCTAATGTTATGATATTTTTTTAGGATTGAAATTGATTTATAAAAAGAAAATTATTTAGCTCCTTTCCTCAATTTAATTTGAATTTTAAAATCGCTTTTTGGTGGGAAGGTGGATGGAGATTTATAATAAACTTGAATTTCAGTACCCATAAATAACCGAATTTGTAACTTCTGCTCTTATAACACATAAACTTGATGAGAAGTGATCAAATGAATGAACATCTAACATACAAGAGAAAATAGCTCCCCCAGTATTTACTGCTTTTCTTGACCCCACGCCAATGTTTATTGTTGCACTCATTTGTGTAAATAAAGCTCTAGATTTCTTTCTAAAGATATCAGCAGATGGTTGCAAGTGGGAAAATAGTTTCCCATTCACGTTTAAAAATTAATGAAGCTGTTGGGGAGTGTACTTAGCTTGGTTTTTTAAAGGGTTAAATAATTTTTACATTATAGTTAAAAATCTTTCTCCAGAACAAATTTTTTTTAAAGAATCGTTCATGTATATTATAGTCTTTGCGAATAGAATAGCATCTCAAGATTGCGCTATTTCCCCCTCTCCGTTACCATAGTTTCGATAAATCTTGCTTTTTCCACTCGGCAATTAGTGAAAATTTAGAATGCACTGACGTGTGAAAAAACACCAAGATTTGCCGAAACCATGGTAACAGAGAGGGGTAAAGTGTGAAGAGTGGTGAAATCACGTAACCTTGAAACGATCATTTTATTTACATAAATTATAAACTCCTTGTATCTAACGTAATTAGAGATCTACAACAAGCGGCTTTAAAATTGGCCAAGTAGGTGTAGCGTTTAAAGAAAGATATCGGAATAATCGGATAATAGAAAGACCACTAATTATTACCACTCATATTCTAAGATAAGTATTCTACACAAAACAGAGAAAAAGGTTTATATTTATTTGATAAACGAACCTGTCATTAAAGAAAGTTTCAGAACATTATATGGGGACAATTCAAAATTGGCATTACGAGGGAAATATTAAACCTAGTATTATTAAATATAACCCATACAATTTCATAGACATAGATAACCGCCATGACAGTAAAGTTTCAGCGTATTTTTTTCTACATTTTCCTCATAATCCAACTACAGTTTGTCATTATAAAATTACAATGGTTTTTTTGTTTTTTTTTTAAATCATCCGCTGAGACATTATTTTCTAATGCTATTCATTTTTCAGTATGACCTTCAGCGAAATGTCTTTTAACAAGAATCATGTGAACGCAGGAAGCGATCGCGTGTTTGTTTATTTTCTTTGTTCTAAATAAAAAAGAACGTGCAATTTTCTATGAAGTGTATTTTTTTTTAATGTGGTTTAAAATGTTTTTCCTGTCACTTGAAATGCAACCTTCCGTAATTGAATCACAAAATGAGGAAAACCCATTTATTCGTGTAGGACACGTTTCGATTTAATGGAACAAAATTTTATAAAGACATTATTTGTTTCAAACAAAAAATAAACATCTCCAAAACTTCGAAGGATAATATACATTTTATTGTTCATCGGAATCAGGAAGAATTCGTCTTTCCAAATTGTTCTAGTACAGCAGCGGTTTCCAAACTTTTCCGAATTGAGGCACCGAAACGAGATCTAAAATTGTCTATAAATATATAAATAAACAGCTGTGAAACTAGATAGAAGAATTGAAGATATTCTACAATTTAAGTTTATTGCTCATCGGAGTTTGGAAGAATTCGTTTTATAAAATTGTTCTAATGTCAAACTTATCAAACTTGAGGCACCCTAACGAGACTTAAAATTGTCTATTTGAACAAAATTTAAAATTTTCTATAAGTTTATAAATTAACGGCTGTTATTCTTCAAAAGATAACCTAGATTTTTATGTTTATTATTCAATGGAAGAGGAAAGAATTCAACTAAATTGGTTCCCAAGATTAAAAAGTATATAAGGTTGGGGCATTCAAATGAGATTTAAAAGTGTCTGTTTCTATGCAATTTAAAATTGTCTATAAATACAGATATAAACGGCTGTGAAACTTCGAAAGACATTCTACAATTTAAGTTAATTGTTCGCCAGAGTTGGGAATAATTCGACTCTCAAAATTGTTCTAGTACCCAAACTTGTAAAGGTAACCTAATAAGAATTAAAATTGTTTACTTATATGTACAGACATCATTCTTATAAAGTGAGCCGAAACTTTGTGTTTGTTCATAATGAGAGCGCAAAACTTCAGCATTGAGACCAAATCTTGTGTTACCTTTGAAACATTCTATACTGATGGCACATTTCTTACATTTTTTTCTAACTCTCGATAAAAAAAAATTTCATTATCTGTCTTTGATGGTACAATTACTTTTTTCCATACATAAATATACGGTTTATATAAATAATAAAATTTTCGGGATAAACGAGATTCAGTAAAAACATAGCGGTAGAATGCAAGACATACTCTGACTTTGTTTTTCTTTTTAAACAGGCAAATTTTTACTGTTGTTCAGTTCTCAGTATGAAACTGTTGAAATACAATACTCACCATTCCACAAAACGCTGTGTAGCATGAAGATAGCAAGTTCGAATCTCATAGAAGCCCTGGACTTGTGATGCAATATTCTAACTTATACTATTTGGTCATCAACATAAGAAAAACGCTTATAAACCTTACTTTGAACTAAGCAAATTGAAAATTGTGTAACAGTAAACAAATAAATTTCAAAACACAACGTTTCAGAGCTTACATGACTCGTCTTTCCTGATTTCAACCTTTGTGGCGCAAAATTAAAAAAAAACTTTGCAAAATAATTTCAACACCTTCGTTGGACTCAAAACTACATTCCAGAGGGCATCGAAAGCATCTATATCTCAATACCTAAGCAAGTTCTGCAGAATTCTGCTATTATTTTCCCCGCATTAGAACCATTAAAGACAAACATATGTCATAATTAAATCCGAAAAGCGGTAATTATTTTTAAAATTTGCATAAAATGTTTGTACTTTTGGAGCACCGATGACTTGAATGCTAAACACTCAACAGTCAATGTGTTCGATCCCCAGTGGCGGCTTGAAGCCCATCCAGCTCCACGTTGCCACATTACTCAGGGGATAGAGCGTTCGCCTTTCAATGAGGTGAAACAGGTTCGAATCCCAGCAATGGCTGGTCGATACGAATTTCGCACCCGGTTTGCACCAAGCACAGTGTCGAAGTAAAATATCCTCCGTGGTAAACGGATCATGCGTCAGAGTTCCTTTGTCGTCATTCTGACCGTGGGTGGTTTTCTTCTTCATGTAAAGCAAATGCTGGTTAGTTCCATCAAGAAGTCCTCCACAGAGGCAAATTTTTCCCAATACGTGATCCAGGAGTTCCCTTGTCTTCTAGATTGTGTTCAATATTACAAGGCGGCGGAGTTGAACATTAGCAAAAAACAGCAGACCCAAAAAATTGGGTCTGCTGTTCGACAACGGTTATAAAATATTTTGAAAAATTTTAAAAATCATGCCGTTGGTGACGAAATTGAGGAGCCTTAATCTTTACTTTTCTAAAATTTCATTTTTCATTTTATATAGCTCCACATTTCTCATCATGTATTTAAACACGAACTAAAAAATTCTTTTTTAAATTACTTACCTGAGGATAGAAATTAAAGTAATCAGCTGTACTGGTTGGCGTCGGTGACTTTGTTGGCGACATCCTCATGTTTGCACAATCATCCATCAGCGTGGATGATGGAAAGATTGATTTCAGTTCGACCACCTTCATGGCCCTTGCAGATGAATTCTCGGGATAATCAGCGATGAATTGTTTGTGCATGGTGGTGAAATGTCGTCGCAGGTTGCTCTTCTTGCTGATGGCCACCGTCGCATGGCAGATGAGGCAAGTGCATTTGCCGTTGGACATCGTGAAGAGGAATTCACTTTCCCACTCATAATGGAAGCGGTAATTCTTTGGTTTGGGTTTTTTTCGCTTCACCTCCTCCACAAAATTCATCAGCACTGTGTGGAAGAAATAAACAATCAATATGAACTAAAAAATATATAAATATTAAAAATAAAAAAAAAGCACGTAAAATAGCTGGAAAGTGAGGTGCGTGAATACTGATTTCAAAACAAAAGTAAAAATATTAGCAGAAATTCAATCTCGGCAACTAAAACTTGCTATCATACACAAGATTATTGATTAATTGCAAGCGAATATTAATTTGAACAACTACGATATAATATTTTAAAAATGGAGAAATACCATACGATAAATCTATATATATATTTCTCTTACACGGCGACAAAAGAAAGCCTCATTACAACTCCCCGAATGGCAACGCTCGAAAATCGACCAATGATTGCCTCTAAAAATGTCACATGCCAAATCTAGCTGAGATAGCTCAACATATAGCGCTTTTAAAAATAGAAACTGAAATAACCAGAGAGAGCATAAGCTAGGCAGAAGTGAGTAGTCTTTGTCGATAGATCTCTATTTTAGTATTTTGTCGAAAGCGCTTTTTTTCACGAATTTATATATTACGAATTTATTTGACGATTTTTGATTTATATCACGAATTTATTTGTTTTACTAGAATTTATTTGTTTATGCAGGTTTTTCCATTGCAATTCACTTATTTCAATTTTTAATAGACTTAATTATAGCCAAAATCTTAACCTTTTTAAAGAGATATCAGTTTTAGAAATTTTATCTTCAGATTTCATACTATAGCACATTTCTAATAGGTTTAACGAATTACATGTCATTTATTTGAATTCAAATTTATTTTAATGACTTAGCATTTACTAAAAAGATGTAATTTTTTTTAAAAAAAAAAGTTGTTAATGGATTTGAATAATTGTTTTGAATTCTTTGAATTTTGTGCATTTGCAATGTACCTAAGGTAGTGGCGAGCAAAGCGAGCTCGGTTTGCGATGAAAACCATATAAGATTGCATAGCAATTTTCGGGGATTGGCGAGCGTTAGCGAGCAGGGGGCGCAGCCCACTAGTTTTAAAAATGTTTATACCTTACAATTCAAAACTTTCAACTGTTAATAAATAATAGTTTAAGAATTTTTAGAAAGAATTACCTTAGAATAAAGTAATTATCTTCGACTTTCCCACTCACATGATCTTATAATTTTGAGCAAAAATTTTTCAATTTATATTAAAGTGTTTGAAACGTAGTGAAATATGTAAAGAGTAAAATTAACAATCAGAACATTTTAATTTATGATCACTATCCTGCATTAACTATTGAAACCATATTTTTGGTTGATCAAATCAGATATAGAAATAAGAATCCGTTAAAATAATGTTTATTCGAAGAAATAATATATTCGCCTCTGATTTCATAACTTAAAATAATGTCCTCTGCGCTAATTAATTAGCATATTTTATTAAGAATTTCTGACCATGGCCGTCTCGAGTGGAGATCTAGAAATCCTAATCTAGAAAGCCTTGCTCCGACCGTTGAAATTTTATAACCATCGTTAAACAACCGACCCAATTATGAGTTTACGACTACCTATGTTCAACTCCGTAGTCTTGTAATTTTAAACCCAATCCAGAATACAAGAGAATTCCTGGATCAAGTATTAGGGGAAATTCGCCTTCGTGTAGGACTTGTTGATGGAACTAACCACGTTACATGAAAAGGAAAAGCCCATTGAGACTGAAAAGTAACGTAAAAACCCGATTATTAAATCAAAAGTTATTCGGATATTCATCTTTCTTTGTACAATTTTAAATAACAACGGCAATCAAACAAGTTTTGTTAGTATTAGTATCGCCTTTCTCAGTCTCATTTAGACCGATTTCCATAGCGGATAGCGTTTTTGTTTTATCTCAATATAAATATTAGTTTGATGTACCTAATGTTTATGCTTTTTTTTTATTTAATTTTTGCGAAAGATTAAAAAAATATTGTTAAGAGTAGTAATTACGGAACACCTTGTATAATGTATATACGTATTTTTAACATTACTTACTTCTAGATGATCGAGAGTCTGATTTATCACCAAGTCGAGCAGTTTTTGTTGCTGGACCCGTTGATTCTGAGAGATCCCTACAAAAAATTAGTTTCGTTACACGTTTTTAAAGTAAATTACAAATGGTACTATTAATATGGTACTACGATAAATGGTACTATGGTAATGGTAGTAAGGTATTATCACACACGTAATCAAACAGTGCAATGATATTTTCCATAAAAATAGAACATTTTGTTCATAAATTATATAATCTATTGCAACAACATTTTGTGAATTAGCGTAAAATATTCGTAATTGAATCATACATTGAAACGCATGCAACTGTACTTAAAAAAAAATGTTTTTAAGAAAACAGAATGTATGGAATAATAATAAATTAATGAGAAGTGCGTTTGCTCATTTACGAGATATAGGACATTATAACAGTTGCTTCATACTCATCGTTTTTATTTTATATTTTAGGTTAATGTTTGATATTTATCAAAAATGAAAATATCATTTTTTAAGAAAATTTATAATGATGGCAAGAACATTTTGTTAATATCTTAATAGTAACGAAATAGAGGATCACCTGGATTTGAAAACTAAACAACTGCACTTGAAGAAAAAAAAATTAAACACAGAAAAACAATGTTTGCCACAATAAGAAGAAAAAAAGACAAACAATATTGCTGTTGTGTTACTGTTATGTTGTCATTGACAATACCAGCAAACCTGCTTGAAAATGAAGAATTTTTAAAGCAGAAGGTGCGTTTATTGTTTTTTCAGTGGCTCCACCTATAACCAAGATTACGACTTTAGTCACACACACGCCCCAGCCCCGTTTTAGAGGGATCACCCAATCATCCACAGATCGTTATTTTAACCTGAACCAGAGGACGAGCAATCTCCAGTTCAGTACCCCTACATGTATTGATTTGTTATGGGAACTTGGAGGACTTTGCGACCTAGACAGATTTAACGCGCACCAATCACCATTTAATATACCGAAATCGTTCAACCTTCGAGATTCGAACTCAAGTCCTCACGCCCAACATCCTAATAACCAGGCTAAGCCGAGTTATTTTACACGTTATCGATATATAACGCTAAGTCAATCTATCGATCTGAAACGGTTTTTATTTTTCTTGTACTCTTGAATTATAATTCTAAAAGAATCCATTATAAACGTTAAGATGATGTATAAGGCAACATCTAAACTCTATCTCACACTTTTTTTTTTTAACTTAAGCACTAGCACATAAAATAAAGATCTCGAAAATTATAAAATAAACTTTCTACAATAGCGGATGAAGAGTCATTATTAAAAACATAAAGATTTGAAAAAAGTTCAAGAAAAAACACATCAAATTGCAATAAATCAAATCATCAGAAAAGTGCCAAAATTTCTAAAAACATATACATATTCTAAAAAATATTGATTAAACAACGTTAAAAAAATTTATTTTGTCCGTGTCACCCTAGATTTTAAGCATAGGTGTCGCTAAAATCAATAAAGACGCAAATATATTTAGAAAATTCTTTTTGACCTACTTTTAATGTATACTATTGTCTATTTTGGTGATAAGCATTGCTCTTCTTTGCTTTCCATTCATTATTAAATACTGTATTTGAGGCGGTCATTTAGCGGACACTTTAATGATTTTTTATATTTGTTTAGCTCACTAAAGAACTTTAATGTTAATATCAAGTCATTGGTAAGGTGTCAAACTTTTTAAAAACATATACATATGTTAAAAAATACTGAATCAACGTGTTTAAAAAAATTTTTATTTTGTCCTGGTCTTCCTAGAAAGTAAGCAAACGTGCCGCTAAAATCAATAAAGACGCAAATATAATATGATTCAGGTTTAGAAAATTCTTTTTGGCCTACTTTTAATGTATACTATTGTCTGTTTCGGTGATAAGCATTGCTCTTCTTTGCTCTCCATTTATTATTAAATACTTTATTTGAGGAGGTCATTTGGCGGACACTTTAATGATTTTTTATATTTTTTTGGTTCACTAAAGAACTTTGATGTTAATATCAAGTCATCGGAAAGGTGTCAAAATTTCTAAAAACATATACATATGCTAAAAAAATATTGATTAAACATCTTTTAAAAAAAAAATTATTTTGTCCGTGCCACCCAAGATTTTTAGCATAGGTGTCGCTAAAATCAATAAAGACGCAAATATAAATAATATGATTCAGGTTTAGAAAATTCTTTTTGACCTACTTTTAATGTATACTATTGTCTATTTCGGTGATAAGCATTGCTCTTCTTTGCTTTCCATTTATTATTAAATACTGTATTTGAGGCGGTCATTTGGCGGACACTTTAATGATTTTTTATACTTTTTTAGCTCACTAAAAAACTTTGATGTTAATATCAAGTCATCGGAAAGATGTCAAAATTTCTAAAAACATATACATATGCTAAAAAATATTGATTAAACATCTTTTAAAAAAAAAATTATTTTGTCCGAGTCACTCTAGATTTTAAGCATAGGTTAGGTGTCGCTAATATCAATAAAGACTCAAATGTTATATGATGGGTGTTAGGATCTTCTGAATAATTATTTGGTTGAAACTAACTACTTAAAGAGACAGGAAAGAGAAACAAACAATAATAATTTTTTTGTAAATTTTTCGATGAAGAATTTTTTGTACAGGATTGCAAAGTGTTAATTAACAATGAATTTTTTTTTTTGATTTTTTTTTCGCATTTACTTTTTTTTAATCCTGTAAGAAAGTTGAATTCAGCTGGTATTTAATAGTGGAGCATCGTTTATACGACGATCACTTATACGACGTTTACATTTATACGACGTTTTAGTGTGGTCCCAAATCATTCCTATTCATTTTAATGTAAAAATAAATCGTTTATACGACGCACAGAATCGGTTATACGTCGATTTTTAGATTTTGTTCTTTATTTAATTTTTTATTTTTTCTTGTGTATTTTAAAAAAGGGCGGAATTTGTCAACATTAATGATGCAGAAAAGGGTGTCAACAAGAATGCTTGGATGACGACCGTAATTTTTACTAGATGACTGAAAAAACTAGACAATGTTATGAAGAGGAAAAAACGAAAAATTGCTCTATTCATCGACCAATGTCCTGCGCACCCATCGATACTAAATATTTTGGAAAATGTAAAAGCTCTCTTTTTTCCTGCAAATTGCACAAGTGCGCTTCAGCCATTGGATTTGGCCGAGATTAGAAATTTAAAATTGCATCATAAAAAGCAATAACTTCAACTCGCTATTCAAAGCATTGTAGAGAATAATAGCAAGAAAATATAATTAAAGGTAACATACATTCAAATGGCTCACTGCAATTTTTCTCCTTTGGTTATTTGTTTGTTTTGCTTTGTCTAATTTAGAAATTTATGTAAATTAACACGTTAAACATTAAAATTAATTGAAAACAGAGTTAGTTTCAGTTTTAGAAGTAAAAATCGATTATACGACGTTATCGTTTATACGACGTTTTTCGGTGGTCCCTTCGGCGTCGTATAAACGATGCTCCACGTACTTACAAATTATGATAAATACAGTTTATTATTTTTAATAAATTTCCTGCTATTTTTAAAACTTAACTGAAGAATTGATTAATGTTATGCTTATATTTAATTTTTTCTTATAAATATTTTAATCATGAAGCTGAAAAATGAGAATAGGCATTCAAACCTTGGATAGCTAAACGAATGAAACTGGCTGTTAATGCCTGAAATAAGTGAAAATTTGAATAATTTTATATGCCATCGAAAGAAACAAAATATTTTTTACATGGAGTATGGTATTTATAGTCAACGATAAAAAAGCGCTAAACTGCAAGAGAAATTTTAAAAAGGAAAAAATATTTCTTACGAGTAATTACCACAATTAAAATGTTGTTTATTTTATTTTCAAAATAATAGTTATCTTAAACCCAAACCTTAGTTCCCAACTAAGTGCTTCATTTGTGAACGTAGACGACAATTTTTGAGAATATCGGTTGCGAAACGATTTTTTAAACTGTATAGGTTGATTAAAAAAGCTTTTTCTTTGCATTTTTATTAGTCTAAAACGAAAGTTCCCGACTTTTTAGTTTCTATAAAAAAAGTTTTTTTACTACAACCAGTTTAGTTATAGGTTTTATATTTCATAAATTATTTTGTTTTGAATAAGAAATCCCAACTCTTACGTGAAATTGTATTTATTTGAAAGTTTTTATCTTAATAAATGAGCAGTATTAAAATGGGTGCAAAATCAACAGCAGTATTGAGATTTAAAATGAAAACAAGTTTAAATTAAATGTGTGTAGAAATTACGTAAATAGTATTCAACTTTTTTTTTTCTTAATTTCGCCTCATATTTTTATCGTAAACATTACAGATAAATACTACATTTTACAACGATATGTCATTTTACTATTTAGATTTCTATGAATCTTACACTTTCCGTTCTCTCTGGTCTTCCTGTTGAAATTATTTAAAATTACACTTTTCGGAAATTTAAATACACCTTAATTATTGTATCACTTTTCATTTATAATTACTTTTCCTTCACAAAATTAAGATAGCTTTGATTGCTCAGTATTAAGATATAGTAATATAATCGATTTTTATTCGACTAATTCTAAAAATAATTAGCAAAAAGCGAGAAAAGGTTATCTCGTCACTTCGGGGTCATGGTATCTACATTTATATAAGAAAGATAATGATCATCAATTATATATAATTGTGTTTTCATACAAATGGCAAGCCCCCTATTCGTTTTTTCAATTTACAACAACTTACAATCCGAATTACATTTAGAATAGAATATTATTCTTTTTTCTACAAGAAAAAAAAATGAATATTTATAAATTTATTAAAATGCTTATGATACACAAAGTCTTAATAATTTAAATTCTACTGTGAGAAATTAGTAATAATGTGGTTCCGGGTTTCAAAAATGTTCTTCATTTGCAAAATTGCTGTTTTCCTAAAAAACTTACTAAACTAATAGCATCTACTTCGTCCTTTCTGTTCGTTTTCTTTTTTTTTCATAAAGTGAATGAGAGAGACTATCCACATAATTAAAATATTGACACTAGGGCAAAGTAGGTAAAATTGCACGCTTTAAATGATCAAATATCAAGTTTTACAGATTGAAATCACATTTAAATTTGAAAATGTTTATTAGTACAGCTACTCAACCGTATAAGAAAAGCAATGTTTCGGGGTGAAAATTTTTTCATAATTTAATAAACATTTTATCAAATGAAGTAAGTAATTTCTCAGAAATTTATTTAATCAATTATTATATAATTCAATTAAACGTAAAGGAAATCCTATATGCCTGTTACAAAAAAAAAAAAAAAAAAAAAAAAAATTTTCCNCAGAATAACTGAAGTAAATGTCGGTACTGTTAGCGTAAAATAATAAATTACCATCAATTTCAAGTAAACTTATTTTGACTTTTAAATAAAACTTAAAACTGTGTGAAATGCTCCTTTTAGTTAAGAATTAATACTACTTTCTTGAATAAATAAAAAAAATCGAAAAATTTAAATTCTTGAACTCCTTGAAAAAGCATTTTGCTGATTGAAGCTTTTCTGTTCTTCAAAGTTTATTGAAAATACTTCGTGAAGTTTTAAAAACAGTACGAAATATTCTTATTCTAATTATGCTGTGTTTTCCACTTAATTCTTGATTAGAAGGAAACGCACAAAAACGAACCGAAAATTGCATTTTGAAAAGAAATTTTAAAAAATTTAATAAATAAAAAGTTTTTTATAAATTTAGAAAATTATACTCTTTTTTTAATAATTAAACCGAACTCAATATTTCAAAAAAATGAGGCTTTTAAAAAATTTATTTGACTAATACAGAAAACTAAATCAAACTAAATTAATCATTTGAACCCTGCCGCAAATTATGTGCTCGTATTTGAAAAAGAAAAAAAAAATAAGAACGAAAAAAATTAACTAAAGCTTCTGTAACAAATTTTCAAAAATATTCCTCTTTATTTATGATTAAAATAGAATGAATAAATTAATTTAAAAAAATTAATTTTCAATCGAGTAACCACTTTATCCTTTTTGATCCCTTTGCTCGCCACCGGTTTTATAACGATCAGAAAAGCGAGGCCAGAGGTGGCGCCATTTTGTCTTTTACCGCGCTCTCTCACCTTAGTACCTTACCACGCGGTGAACTCTTCGAACACATGTTAATAATGTCCATTTAAAAAAATAAAAATTACACCAAACTTACATGCTTTAACCCAGGAATAGCAGTGACAATTTTCGAACACGTTGGATACAATTATTTCCTCAGATAAAGCTGGTATATTAAACTTCGAGAACCGGTCGATCGCGGTCGACGAAACGTAGTAGAATGAGGAAGAAGGCGAAAGACGCTAGTGACGTAGTACCCGGGAAAAGTGCAGGGACCGCGGAGCCCCTGGCGGTCACCAAGGGATTCCCCCTCTGCTCAGTGGCTGAACAGCTCGATTCCACTCCTACATCCACCACTACGTATACAGGAGGTCCACTTTTGCGGGCACAGGGCGCCTCCTTTGACGATTGACCGCTGAAAAGCTTCTCTACTCAGTTCCCAGTCACAGAAATTGTCTCTCCGGCACGGGGCAATATCTGTAAAAGCGAAACACTCGCTGCTATAAGCCCAACTATAATCCGTTATATTCTGCACTAATAAAACTAATCCAACAATTTAAAAAAAATTGGTTGTAGAAAATAAAAGTGTTTTGCAGACGATATTTAAATGCAAAAAATTTCTATTTCATAAAATTTATTTTTTCCCAATGTGCAAGGGAATCGCAATCATATTTTCTAAGACACAATACAGAAATCAGCTCACAAAATTTGCACCACAAGTTACCCATTTATTGATGTAGAGCATTTTATTATTTTAAAAATGGTATGACATTTCATTTTACAACAAAAATTTAAAATTTAAAACGATTATGATTAATTGACATTTCTAAAATCGCTTGCTTAAAAAAAATTATTCTCATTTAAATCTAATTATCTTGATGTTTTTTCTTTGTTTTTTTTTTAAGAAAAAAAAGAAAAGAAAAAAGATCAGTTCTGATTTTACTTTTATTTTATTTTATTTATTTACTCTTTTTTTTCTATTCAAAATACTTTAAAATGGCTGGGCAAAATTCTTTAGCGTCAATTTTACAGAAGTAAGTTTGTCTAGAGTTAGTATACAAAATACAAATATTTAAATTTATGTCTTAAAGTCAATACACAATGACACTAAATCCAATGTANAAAACGATTATGATTAATTGACATTTCTAAAATCGCTTGCTTAAAAAAAATTATTCTCATTTAAATCTAATTATCTTGATGTTTTTTCTTTGTTTTTTTTTTAAGAAAAAAAAAGAAAAGAAAAAAGATCAGTTCTGATTTTACTTTTATTTTATTTTATTTATTTACTTTTTTTTTCTATTCAAAATACTTTAAAATGGCTGGGCAAAATTCTTTAGCGTCAATGTTACAGAAGTAATTTGTCTAGAGTAAGTGTACAAAATACAAATATTTAAATTTATGTCTTAAAGTCAATACACAGTGACACTAAATCTAATGTGGTAGTTAACATAAGGAAATATTCACTTAGTTCATAAGTTTATGGACGGTTTTTCAGAGTATATTCAAGAGTATAAAATATGATTCATAAAGTACTTTTTTTTTAAAAAAAAATGATAGTATTTAAAAAATAAATTTACGAAGTATTAACTGAAACTGTATAGACTCTTAAATACTTCGGTATCATTTTGATAAAGTAATTAATTTTTTTATTAATGAAAACAAGGGATACAATTTAAAAGGTACAATAGAGACAGCAACAGGAGTGAAAAAGTCTTAAATAGTATAATCTAGTTAGCCTTAATAACCACATTGTATTTCATGTAGTTCTTTTTTCCAAATTAGCATTTGGAAAGATTATTTATTATAAAATATAAATTAATCTATTAAAATAAAACTACATATAGAAAAGGGACAGCATGAGCGACAACTAAAAATATTTTTATCTCTGATCTGATTCAGATTAAAAAAATTTTCAACTTGATATCTAAAAATTTATCAGATTTCTTCTATATATGAAGAATAAGGCGTCATACGAATTATTTATTCCTATATATGATCTTCTAGGTATCAATTTAATAATATTTATAGTCAGGGACAGTAGTCACAAGTCAACTAAGGGACAGCCTTTTTCTGATGAATCATGAAAACATAAGAAAGCTAAGAGAAAATACCGTATCCATTTCTAATAACATTTAGCAACTAAAATATGCATAATGTATATTTCATATGCTTTGTAATTACAAAAAAATTTTCTTTAACAGGAAGAGAAGTGACTTTTTTATGCGTTTAAATATTCAGCAGAGTTATGACGCAATAAGTCATAATGTCAAGAATAAATCATGTTGTTTGTCGAAATATTATGATGTAATAAATATTTAAAAAGTTATTTGGAAATTTCCGTAAGAGAAATAAATTAAATAAAGATAAATAAAATAAAAGAAAGAGAAAAGTCACAATTTCTGGGGAAAATTTTGTTTCGATGAATTTCGAAATTTTGTTTCGTTTTTTTCTGGGGAAAATTTTGTTTTGATTTTGTGCCTGATTTCGAAACTTAAAACGATGTTTTAAGTTTCGAAATCAGGCACAGAAATGCTGTTCCTCACACTTTTTCCACAAATAATACATAAATCAAAAATTTAAAAAAAAAATGAAAAATCAAGGAAGAACATTTAACCACAAAAATTAAATAATAATAGTAATAATAATAATAAAATTTGAAGTTTTGAAACAATATTTCGCTCTTCCACGCATGAGATGTTTCCCCCAAAAAAGAAAAAGTTATTTTCCCAGCAAGTGAAAGTGAAACTGCCTCTTTTTCTAAGAATGAACGCTGACTAATTTCGGAATTGCATAAAATAAGTAATCATGCGACTAATTATACACATGAATAAGCAGATTCAGGGAAATAACTGTCGAGGGAAAAAAATAAGCATTTTATCTTAAATTTTAACTTGTAATAATTAGTATTTTTTGAAAAATGTTTCGAATTCTTCATCTCTGATCACCGATTCAAATAAATTTTTGAGTCCATTTTCCAAATTGAACTAAAATTATCAAAATATTTGAAAGATAAAAAGTTGGTAAAAATTTATTTAACACTAGTATGAGTGGAAGGGAGTAGTAAATCGCCCATTTTTATTTCGGATTTTCTTGAAGTTTTAATTTTTATATCTGGCACCACCTCAGTAGTAGGTTCTCTGTATTGATCTGCAGCACCGTATTTTAAAATGTATCTGTGGCTCTCTGGCACTTGACGGTGGCAGGAAGGATCAAACCACCCTCACCCACTTTCTCAGTGATACTGCAGTACTAAGTGGTACTGTAGTACTACGCGTGCCTCGAGAAAAAGAGCTCTACTAAGAAGGCTTTCCCTGAAAACACAAACCTAGCCCATTTTTAGGGCCCTATCTTCTAACGTTATGGTAAGAATGCCACGTAATTAGGACCCTGGTCAGATGACGTGGACAGGGCCTGCACTGGCAGCCCTCTCTCCAAACTTCTACACCACAACCAACAAGAGGACTTTCAGCCACGACAGATTTAGCGCGCACCTTGCTGCGTATGCACGCCGGTTGTGTCGGTTGCCAGGATCGAACTCACTACACTCATCTCTTCAACCAACGGTGTGAGCGACGCTTTCACCAACTGCATAAAGTTGTTGTTGGTTTACGACTCACTAGGCTGCACAATAGACTATTGGCGACGATCTGGAAGTCATCCCTGAGAATGATCCGAAGACATGACATCACAATTATGATCCTCTGTAGAGGGGATGATTCCCAGCTTCGGTAGCCTGACGACCTGCACTCGAAGTCGAGCACTTTAAGGTAGAACAGTTAAACGAGGACCGATACCTCACACCCTCGGTCCCTTTGCAGGCTCATCAAAGTGATCACCCACCTGCACACTGACCGCAGTCAGTGATGTTTGACTTCAGTGTTCTATTGGAAACCGTGTCTTGACGATCAGCCCACTGCGGGACCCGACTGTATAAAGCTTCTCATAATTTGTTTTGTCCGAAATACGTTCTAGTCACACTAAAAACCCAAAATTAAAAAATCCCCATTAAACGTTAAACATGTGTAATGAATAACCTGCTAGTTAAGTTTTTAGTTTTATCCAACCTAAAAAAATATAACCAAAACAATTTTAGCTAATTTTTCGTAATAGAGTTTTAAATTTTAATCTTTTCCTCGACTGAGTTAAGACAGATTAACTTCTACTTATTCTAGATGCAACATATGATAATCTCACCAAATTAAAAATTTGAGAACCTTCAGAAACGATATTTAAATTTAGCTAGTAGTAATGCTTTTGGATCGTATTTTGATATGAAGTCTCAGTTATGTAAAGTAAATGGTAATAGAAGTAAAAATAAACATATGAGTCACTCATTAAAGTATTTTACGGGAAAATTGCTTGATCTTGGTTAATTTTGACTGAAATATAATGGACGTGATTTATACTCGTAGTAAAATTTTCGGTATCAAGTGGACTTTTTTGAGTACGACTCAGACTTATACCCTTATTTTCACCAAGTCCTCAAAAAATATTATGGCTATAGTAAATATTAATTTCAGCTTATATATTTGAGTTTATACACTTACGTATGAATTGAAGATATTTTAATTAAAATTACATTTAATATTATAACATAACAGTTAAAGAAATAAATTTTAAAAATACAAAATATTGATGTCGTTCAAATCCCTGCTAAGAAAAGGGCTAGATATCAATATGTCACATGTAACAGAACAAATATTTTAGATCCCTACAACGCATCATAATGTTTAAAAACGAACTAAAAAACTTCACAAATATAAAATAAATCATTTTTAAGATATGATGCAATAATTTTAACAAATTTAAACACATTTTGATTACCCCAAAAACTCAAAAAAAAAGCATTTTTAAACTATGTATAATTTTAAAAAAAAAATTTATATGCTAACCAATTGTAATCCTCAAATAATGAAATCATTTTCGAAATAATGTAAGGTAATTAAAATAATCATTTTAAATTGAATAAGCGTAATGGTATAACACATTTTTAAAAAAAACTCAAAAGGTATGAGTTATTTTGCCAAACAAAACAATCATTAAAACATCTTTCAATAACCAAGTACCGTCATGCGGGGGCTACTTTGTGCAAATTCGAATTTGGCACTTTTCAAGTGCTGCTATTCAGTATTATGCTTTTTTCACGTTAAAAATGTGTGGAATTTGAAGATAGAAGTCTCCTCTATTACTACAAACATTTTTTTAGAATTTTAAAACAATCTCAGAGTGTGTTTTGTTTATCCAATGTCAAGAACTTTCCGAGAACGTCGGACGTCGAAAAGTGTGCGTGGAAACTTTAGCTGTGA